ATGGTCTGAGAGATATGCCTGATACAGTGCTTAGTCATGGTGGTCAGCTATTGGTTGTAATGGTCTGAGAGTTGCCTCTTACAATGCTTAGTCATGATGGTCAGCCATTGGTTGTAATGGTCTGAGGGGTGCCTCTTACAATGCTTAGTCATGATGGTCAGCTATTGGTTGTAATGGTCTGAGAGTTGCCTCACACAATGCTTAGTCATGATGGTCAGCCACTGGTTGTAATGGCCGAGAGATGCCTCTTACAATGCTTAGTCATGATGGTCAGCTATTGGTTGTAATGGTCTGAGAGATATGCCTCACACAATGCTTAGTCACTATGGTCAGCTATTGGTTGTAATGATCTGAGAGATGCCTCTTACAATGCTTAGTCATGATGGTCAGCCATTGGTTATACTGGTCTGAGAGATGCCTCATACAATGCTTAGTCATAATGGTCAGCTATTGGTTGTAATGGTCTGAGAGATGCCTCACACATTGCTTAGTCATGATGGTCAGCCATTGGTTGTAATGGTATGAGAGATGCCTCTTACAATGCTTAGTCATGATGGTCAGCCATTGGTTGTAATGTAATGGTCTGAGAGATGCCTCACACATTGCTTAGTCTTGATGGTCAGCCATTGGTTGTACTGATCTGAGAGATGCCTCACACAATGCTTAGTCACTGTGGTCAGCCATTGGTTGTAATGGTCTGAGAGATGCCTTATACAATTTTTAGGCAGAATGGTCAGCCATTGGTTGTAATGGTCTGAGAGATGCCTTATACAATTTTTAGGCAGGATGGTCAGTCATTGGTTGTAATGGTCTGAGAGATGCCTTATACAATTTTTAGGCAGGATGGTCAGCCATTGGTTGTAATGGTCTGAGAGATGCCTTATACAATTTTTAGGCAGAATGGTCAGCCATTGGTTGTAATGGTCTGAGAGATGCCTTATACAATTTTTAGGCAGGATGGTCAGCCATTGGTTGTAATGGTCTGAGAGATGCCTTATACAATTTTTAGGCAGGATGGTCAGTCATTGGTTGTAATGATTTGAGAGATGCCTCTTACAATGCTTAGTCATGATGGTCAGCCATTGGTTGTAATGGTCTGAGAGATGCCTCTTACAATGCTTAGTCATGATGGTCAGCCATTGGTTGTAATGGTCTGAGGGATGCCTCATTTATGTGTATCCATAAACGTAAAATGTATACAAAAAATTTGAACAAAATAATATCTAATATCACATTTTCAACAAGACTTTGACATATAGTTGTAGGACTGTAAATGACATGTATCACACATCTATAATGTATGCACAAAAAAAAGAATTGAAGATTGTCCATGATACCATGTATTGCCACCATACTGACAGATTGGATATATAGACATGTATTTTTACATGTATATTATATCTACCAAATCTGAATGAAAACTGACAAAGCATGTCTAAGATAGTATATTTAAAAACACAGAAAAACTAATAGTTTTGCCTTTTGGATATGTAGCAAGCAAGTGACAATTACAAATATTTGGGGTGTAAAATTATTGGGACATGCAAGTACTATCACGGGTCATGGTAATTCTACTACTGTACTTGACCCAGATGTCTGGAATACCACTAATAAGGCATGCTAGTGTGTACATGTTCCACAAGTAATTCATTCAGGACACCAGCATGATTCACCCATGTTATGTCAGTCAACCTTATACTTTCAAGAGGTAGGAAATCTGCACGTGAAATTTGAGGTTTTGACACAAAGTGAACAAATATGAGAGATCCATGAAAAAAGACTGCATTTGACTCACTAAATATAACCATGCTCATTCTTGTTCTGCTGTCATATACATTTGTAATTATAATGGTATGGAAAACTGCAACCAAATATATTTTAAGTGTTTATTTTATGTATTTCACTACCATTAGTTTTAGATTTTTT